CCCCTAGCCCTCAAGGTTTTGTGGATTAAAGGTTTGAAACCATGAAACTAGTGCAACCTAAAAGCTAAAACGAACCTGGGAGGTGAATTAAGAGATCCTAAAGTTTGTGGGCTAATTTTAAAAAAATTTAAGAAAATAAATAGTCAGCAAACAACTTTGTCTTGGGAAACGGGGCAGGGCTTGGGCTGACTCCTGGTTTTTTGGGACTTGGGGTTGCCAATATGCCTTTGAACTTTGCAGCCATTCATAAATCCTTACATAACAACAGCAGCCACAACGCGCTGGAGCTCTAGAAATGCTGACATGAGGAATGTGGTGGGAAAGATTCTTTTAGAAATGTATGACAACTTACCTTGAAGCATTACCTGAAGCCTCAACAACCCATATCCCCTTGGAAAAGGAGCATCTTTCTGCTCTGGGAACTCATTTTGCTCTGTAGTAAACCTTTTGTAGGTGAAGAAGAATTCAAAGTCTCCATAAAATCACAGAACTGTACTGAAAGAGGTTGAATACATGACTTGGTCCCTTCCATTTCAGGAAAGTGATTCTTCTTTCTTTCAGTGGGTGGTCTTTGCAGAAAGCCTCCAGGACCAAATAAGAGCAAATGTGAGCTTCAAAACCCTCATAAGCATCACTCTGCTTTATCCTGTCTGCATCTTCATGCTCATTCACAGGCAATCAAGACAGCAGTTTGGGTACCAGCTGACCCACCCCAACTCCCTGCTCACACCTCCCTGCTCCTGCTGAGCCAGAATCCACTCTCTCAGACCACCTGCATGGTGCTTTCAGCAAACAGAATGTACTTCCCACTTTGCCATGGCTGACAAGTGATTAATGAAAGTCAGCTGATGCCATTCCTTGCTATGGTGTGAACATGCCCCATGTGCAGAGATGGAGCAGCTCCTGGAAGGAACATACCCAAACAATATTTCTGAGGGGTTTCTTCTGGCTTTTTTCTTCCTTTCATCAGGCTGGCAGAGCTCAGTGCTCCCTCACACTGCTCATATCTCCTGCTGTTTTAAACAAGTATTTAACTTACCTTAGTGCCCAAGTAGTTTTCAATTCAACCAGGCTCTCTCACTGCTGATTTTAAGATCAGACCCCACAGAAGAGGCTTGGGAAGAGATGTGCTGGTAGCTGAACTACAGCAGCAGCTCGTGAATCAGCACCTGCCTCAGCAGGAAGAGAAAATAGAGGAGCATGTAACTTGCAGCTTGTGAACAAGCAGTCACAGGGACATCAGCCTGCTGATATCTTGGAAGACTAATATCTAGCATATCCATCCTGCCTGAGTTAATCTTTCCCAACTGAAATCAGGCACTGGAATAGCTCAGCTGGAGTGGTGCTGATCCCCATTAGCATCAGGACAGACCTGGGCTGCTCTCGCTGTTAGTCTCAGTGTTCTTTCTTCTCACTCTGCTATTGAGCACACCTGTTTGAGGTCTCCCTTCTTTCCAGAGACTCTGTGGATTGTGGCAAGGGCACCGTGGGGAACACTGACACCAGTCCCTGTGAATGTCTTGGTGCAGCCATGTCTTGGCAAGCTTGTCACCACAGTTTCCACCTACAGACAATGCTGTGGGAGGTGACAGTGAACAGGGCAGATAAGCAGGTCAGAAACTCAGCTGGGGCACACCAAAACAACTTTACTTGTGATTGTAATGGGGAAGCACATCCCATTGCCAGCTGCTCAGTGCTGAAGTCCATGCAAGGCAGCGCAAGCCTTGCTCATGCACACACACACCCCCACCCTCCAACATGCCCACGCCTTGGGAGCCAGAACCTCTACAGTGCACTAACAGTTCTGCTGTTAAACTGCTTTTTACGTCTCAGCACTGATACGAACAGGCAAAATTTTCCTAGTTCTCCACCACAGGTGTGCAAAACACAGTGTGGCTACACCCCATGAGCTCAAGGTGAAAATGTGCTGCCAAGAACACGTTGCTATCTGCCAAAGATAAACCAGCTGCAATGCAAAAGTAGCCCAGCCAGAGAAGAAACCCACAAACAAAACAGGCTTCCTGTGTTCTCTAAAGACACCAAGGCAGTGTTTAAGGAAGGTGGAACTAATATGCGTGTCCTCAAACAGGGCTCAGGAACAAGGGGAGGACAGCTTTTAAACAAGAGCCTTTGTTTCTAAGGCACAGGGAAGAAATTAGGCTGAGAAAGCTGCCTCCTGACCCAGGGCTGTGCTGCTGATACTTTACTGTGTTACCTTGAGGAATAGTGTCCAAGACTCTGCCTGGCAATTATTTAAACATTTAATAGGCCGAATTCAGCATGCCCTACGCAGCTTTCTAGTTCACAAAAAGCTTTTGGATGTGCGTGCCCACTCATTCAGATGATCCAGTTAATTAAAAATTGATGTATGCTCGTATTTCAGTTTAAAGGAAGCTAGTTCAGGTAGCTAGCTGAGTGCTGCTCCTGACAGGCAGCCTTTAATCAGAACAGGCCTGATGTGAACTGAGAGCTGCTGGCTTTGGGTATCTGATTAGAAATATCACCCTGCAGAAGGCTGATGAAACTGTGTACAGATCAGCCCTAAGAAAACCATCTTCACAGGGTGGAAGATGGATCCTTGTGGCCCCACTGCTCCCCTGCCTGCTCCCACACCCTCATGACACCAACCAGGGCCCTACTGACCCTCACACTGGCAGCAAAAGGGGACAGGTAGGACAGAAAAAATGGAAACTACCTCTGCTTCTTTCACTTCTGCATCTGGGGAGTGAAGTTCCCATGGTGCCATGAGTATGTCAGGTTAGTACAAGAGCCAGATTGCCAGTGCTGTAATGCACCATAACTCTGCTGAAGGCAAGGAAAGGGGAGGTGGGGCATGGCAGGACAGCTGGGAAGGACTGCTGACCACCAGGTCAGTAAAACCAGCTCAGGCCCTGCAATGACAACCACAGCATCACAGAATATTCTGAGCTGGAAAGGATTCATAAGGATCCTTGAGTCCAACTCCTGGACAATCCAAAAATTCACACCATGTGCTGTTTATCTAAATGCTTCTTCAACTTTGTCAGGCTTGGTGCTGTGATCAGTTCCCTGGGGAGCCTGCTCCAGATCCCAGCCACCCACTGGGTGAAGAACCTTTTCCTAATACCCACCCTAAACTTCCCTTAACACAACTTCAGGGCATTGAATGCTGATCTTCATAGGTACTTTGTGTTTCACTGCTGCATTACCTAGATCCACTAAGATGTTTTAGGGAGAATCCCTGTCTCTTGTTGAGTCCCTCTCTTGTCCCCAACCAGGGGAACTTTCCCTCCACAAATACATACCACATGCTCCCATGGCCTTGTGTTGCAGCATTGCATCAGTGAGCGAAGCACGTGAGGAGAGCTCGACCTATTGACACAGATCTGTGGAGACCAGTGGAGTTGATGTGGGAACGTAAGCCAAGGCAAACCTGCTCTCTGGGCTGCCCTTGCTGCCACCTGCACAAACACAGCACGGTCCCAGGGCTGAAAAAGCAGAAGGGGGAGGCTGCTCCACACAGTGCCTGCCAGCCCAGCTGATGTGCCAGGGCAGTGTCCCCCAGGCAAGCCCCACATCAGCCTGGTCCAAAGCAGGCAGCAGCACCCCCAGCCCCCTGCATGCCTCGGTCCTCCCTCCTGGTCAGCTTCCCACAGAGGGCTCTGTTTTTGGGACAGCCTTGACCTGCACTGCAGGGCAGGCTGGAGAGCCCTGCTGTTTTACAGCCTGGCTGTCCAAGTGAGGTCAGCCACAGCCTTGTCTCAAAAGGCCAAGCTGATGTTTTGTTCACCTGTGAAGTTTTCCAGACCTGAGTTCCCTTTTGCACCAAGAATATTAAGCATGACAAAACCTGGACTAGAAACATTGTGTTTGAACACAACAGTTTGGATTTTTTTTTTTTTCCGTGGTACGGATGTATGATTTCATTTGCCTGATTTCTATAGTGAGAGAATCACAGCTCCAATGAGATGGTATCACACAAACAAAGGTTTCAATACATCCAGGACAGAAGAACTGAAACCATTTGTGCTTAAAATACATGACGTGTGCCTCACCTGCAAAACAGTTACTTAAAAGACACTGATTTAACAAGCTGAAGTCAGAAAACTGACTGCCAGCCTTTCTGCCCATTTTCCCAGCCATTCAGTGGGGCAGACAGGACCCATTTCCCTCCCAGAGGTGGAGGTGGGAGGCGTAGCTCAAGCTTTGATAGTGCCCCATGCCATGCCTTGCACATGGACCAGACATTGGTGTCTCAGTTTTCCATCCAGTGCTTTCCACTGAATGAATTCATCAGATCTGGTGGTAAAATCTCCCCTCAGCTCTTGTCCTCTTTGCAGTCTTTAAATATTTAGTACAAGAATGTCTTTAGGTCACCCTGGCTGAGGCTGAGTATTTTCTCCCAGGAGCTCCAGTTGGTGGTGAGCCAGGGAGAAGGCCAGAGTGGGAAAGGTCCTTGTATAGCTGGGGTGGAACTGGGGAGGACACTGCTGAAAAGAAGAAAAATCAGGAAAGGCAGAGGGACAGCACAAGGGAAACAGAGGAATTGGGTAAACTTAAGGGACTTAGGTTGAGATGACATGGAGAAAGTTCCTGGCTGGGCAATATTTTATGTGATGCTTTCAGAAGGCTGAGAAGACAACCTGGATGGAGACAGCAAAAAGCCAGTGGGAACAGACAGGTTGCCCAGTTCATTTGGAAATAAAGAGAAAAAGGGAAGCAAGGACATATCTAGAGGGACAGGAGTGGGTAATTAATGATAATTACAGAGTGAACTGCTGACATATGCTCACTTCAACTTCAGCACCAGCTGATGGCAATCATTTACAATCTGTACAGTGGGAGCTCCCTGGGTAAGAACCACAAACCACAACTTGTAAAAATTATATTTAACAGCAAACCTTTTGTGCCCCTGTTTCATTCTTACTCCTTAAACTATCTTTTATTCATTTTGATTTTTAATAGATCCCCTGGGAAGCTAGAAGCATGTTGTTTCTGGGACAATTGCCCACCAATGTATATGCTTTATAATTCTCTTTATTAAAATATTTCTTAAGAAACACAAATTAAAACACTTTGCAATCAGTTACACAGATCAGTTAATATTGGTGACAGTTCCTACATAATTAAACAAGTACTAACAAATTTCAACTGTTTACAAACCAAAACTTAAATTAACAAGATTATATAAGCTCAATAAATAGTACATCTGGTCCAGTTCAAGTATAATTCAACAAATCACAGCCTTAATCCTTAGAGAATAGAAAAAAAACCCTGAATATAACCAGCCTAACACTAATTTAGTGTTAAAGCCAATGTGGAACTTTGTCTGATCTAATGGGGCAAATGTTTAATTCTTTCATTTTTTTCTTCAAAGGAAGTAGGTTGCAGATTGACATTAAAGACTATTTGAGATCAATGCAGATTTCACAGAGATTAAAAACATAGTCCCTATTATAAAAGTGCAATCTTTGGTTGAGATGTATTGAAATGGTTTTGATATATTAAGGAAGCTCCTTTTTAAATATCAATATTTGTTTGGCTAGACCTGAGCCTGCTTTGTGCTATATACATATCTATATATATATATAGATATACATATATAGATCTATATATATATATAAATGAAGTGTGGATTATAGTGATGATGAATTATGCCAACTAAAAAAAGTGAAGAGTTCAATATAATAAACCAAAAGAAACAACACATTTTTACACAAGCTGAGGAAGGTAAGGGACTGCCTACAGCAGAATTCTTTCTCAGCAGAATAGATAGTAGAGAGAATTTGAGGAGATGCTGTCAGCATTGCACAATGGCCTGTTGGAGAGGGAAGTAGATTATCTCTGAGTTCTCAAAGTGCATTGGGCTGAAAACTGATCATGGGCATCATTAGGAGCTAATTGAGACTTGGGATTGCTTTCAACTGTTGAGGTTTTGGGGAGAAAGGACCTTCTCAGAAGGGGAAGTGCCCATTTGGCTGTTCTCAGGATTTTGCAGATTGCTGTTTTGTCAGACAGAGCCCAAAGGGACGGGGTGTCCAAACCACCTCTACAAATGTCTGGCTCTGCTCAGGTCTGTGGGGCTGGGCTCTGCACCTGCACTGCTCACCTGAGTCATCTCCCTCCAGAAGAGGAAACTGCACAGGGCAGAGATGCCCTCTAGAGCCACCTCGTTCCTCAGTGGCAAGCAAGGGCCTGTAGCTGTGACCCAAACAAGGTGTTTGGAGCCAGGACATTTCCTGCTGAGCCTTGGTCAAGACTCTACCTCTGGAGACTGAAACTTAAATGGCTGGGGACCAAAGGATACCAAGACCCACTGTATCAAGAAGGGATTTTGTATTCCTAATGCAACTATCTAGGGGAAAAAAGGAGGTTAAATACAAGCTGTGAACAAAGGGAGTAACCTTGATTCAGAAGCAGAGGAGGGGGAAAGTAGTTTGAATCATCTCCCATAAATCCAAAAATAAGCCCCTGGGTAAGTACTCATTTTAATTATTCTTCTGCTGCCAGTCAAAATCTCATGGTTACCTGCTGCTTTCCCTGCCTGCCTGTATCCACCTGTTGTCTGTTTTCAGAAAGTGTGATTTAAAGCTCTTTGGCCTGGGAAAGTCTTTGTTGTGGATTTGTGCCTTGCCTGTAATAAAGGCAGTGGACCTGTAGCTTCTGCTGCACTACAAATAAAGAATAATAACAGTGATACTTTTCTCATTTGAGGTTACCTGGGGATAAAGCTGCTGGAGGCATATGACTTTGACATACAGTCAGCTATGTCTCACATCCAATTAAGCTTAACCACATGGTCTAACAAGCTCCCATTAGGCTGGTGAGAGCCCCAGTTTGATAGCAGGGTTAGCTTCAAAGATCTGATGCTTGATTTCCTTCCCTTGTGTTCAGTTTGTGCTGAAGGGCATGAAGGGAACTTCAGATGATACATGGCCAGCTAGAGAGCTGCACTCTAGAAGACAATTGCACAATCTTTACTGCCATTTTCATCATCTTACAGCCTGCAATACAAGCTCTTGTCCTAATAGCCCTGCGCTCAAGTTTCACTGCAATGTGAAAAACAAACAGTCAAAGGAAAACCCAACCCTTGAAGGAAAAATACCTAGTTTGCAATATTGGTGGAATTTTTTCTTTCCATAGGGGAAGAAAAACCAAACCCTGCTACCAAAAAAAACCAAAAAACAAAAAAACAAAAACCCCACCAAAAAACAAAAAAAGCTCCCACCAAAACAAAAAAGCCCCCACCAAAAAAAACAACCCCTCTGACCCCCAAAGACTAAAACTAAACTAGCTGTTTTAAATGACAGATGGACACAAGTCTTAACATACTTCAAGCCTGGACAAAGGAGGATTTAGGCTGTAATGTCTTTCATTTCCCCTTGTCACTTGGTAGGCTCTGTCTGAATCTGGGATGCAAAGAATCCCTCCACTTGCAAGAAGCAGGAATTCCAACTATGAAATCTGAACCTACCTCTGGTAAAAATGAGTGGAAAGCACAGGCCATGGAATGGAACAGGGCTTCAGGCAACAACACCAGGCACCTCTGAGAGACACTGCCTGGCTACAGGGTACTTCAGAGAATGAGCACAGCTGCTGGCACAAGACATAATGGAACAAATACTTTGGTGGAAGCAGTTTTGGCAATTTAGCCACTTTGCAATATTATGCAACACCCCTGCCATTCTTAGGGAAAGCTAGAACCTTCTGGGAAACTGTTTCCTCTGCACAACATCTAAAGAGGACATCCAGTACCAGCAATTTTTAGAGAACATACTGTGATGAATATTAGAGTCAGGCAAAGAATGGAAATGCCTGCAAATCCCCATCTACCCAGATTGCACAGGGCATTTTATAAACTCTGGGATCAATCCTGGCAATGCTTTGCATGCGTATTCACTTTAGTACACAAAGCCCTATTGAAATGAACCAGAAACTTGTACAGTGCATTTCAAAGGGACTTTGCAAAATACTAAGCAACAACTGTGCAGAAACAATAGGTCATAATAATGCCAGAGCTGCTGGTGCATCCTGTGTTCTCAGTGCAGTGCTCCGTGAGCCATCAGTTGTTGTATTCACCTTAAAAAATTCAGGGAAATAAAATACAAAAACAATATTAGAAATCTGGCGTCTTTCCATAAAAACCAGGAAAATTCAACATTGCCAAGCTGAGGAAAAGCAAGCTTTAAAGAAAACAAAAAGACCCCAAAAGCAAGGATCTTGAATAAAATGTCTAAAAGAGACATGGTCCAAACATGTGGCACTTTAAAAAGCCTCTCATGAGAGTTTCAAGTCTGTAAGACTCAAAGTTGGCACCCTTTAGAATTATCAAAAAGAAGAGTTTCAAACACAACGGTCCCTGGAGAACACCCTGACCGCAGCATGGAAAATGCTGAAACCAGAGCAGGCTGGCTGTCAGCACGTGCATTTGAACTGCTCTCGCTGTGCTGGGTTCAGGCTCTGAGGTCCCTGGGACAGACTGTGGCTCCCCCAGAATTCACACAACACTGGCAGTGTACAGTCAGTGCTTGACAACACAAACATTTGTCATTTCACCAAGCTCTAAGACATGGAGGTGGGTGCTGATGGGGCTTACATTATGCCATCTACTCACTAGTTTTAGCAAAATGGCTTTATCCCTATCTCTTTATCCTATGCAAATCCTACTTCTCACTGGGGCAATGAGTGAAATGGCTGAAGGTATTTTAAGCAACATTAAAGCCTATAAATAGTCACATCTCCTTTCCTTCCAGCATCCACTGGAGGATGCTGAGTGCTTCTAAGTACTCCACCTGACCTGACATGTTACATCAGAACTAAAACTTTAAGAATCCCTGAGAATTCTGATTTAATCTAGGAAACCACTCCCAGCACGCAGAGTGTGAGAAAGAATTGCTCCACTTCTAACAGATATGCCAGCATTGCTTCACCGTGGGAAACAGTTTCAGGCATTTTGGTTTTTAATGGCACTCTGGGCATAGATGCATGGAACATGCTCTTTATTTCCCCTCCTCTGTACAGTGCAAATTGACAGTTATATCATAGAAATTTAAAAAAAAAAATCAGCATTCACTCATTACAGCTCTTCCAGTTCATCTGCATCATAATTTTTTCTTTGCAAAGTGAGGAACGATGCCAGTGTCATCCTGAGGCAGAGGGCTGCCTTCTTCCTTCATTTTCAGGCTCTCTTCTGCAAGCTGGGATAGATACTTCTGCAATCACATAAAAAAAAACAAAGCATTGTTACCAAAACTGAAAATATTCAACACAGGATTCTTTATGCCTCTTCAGAGCTCTAACTCTTCCAATATCTCAAAAGGGAGGAAAACACACAGAAGCCCCATTTTGGTGAAAACTCAAGCTAGAAAATATGGCTGTGTCAGACAAACTACCTGAATACATACAGAGCCTCAGAAGTTCAAAGGTTTACTGTGTGCCACGGGGGGAACTGGTGACAGAACCAGGAGGACTCCACTCCCCACCAGTCTGTGCAACCAGACCTCACCTTCTCTCTTCTCCCCTGTGCTACACGGTAGTTCCTGACTCCACTCAGTCAACTGAATTCTGCCAGGAAAGTACTGGTGTGTCAGAACATAAATGTGATTTCAGAGTCTTGATTTAAAGTTTATATATTATATTTTCAGCATGTCCAGTTCAGAGATACACCTTTTTTATGAGAACATTTTGTTTTAAGGGAATAATCACACTCAGTCATAATTAACACATTTTAGAAGTTTGGCCAGAGTATTTACCTTTATTGTGTTTCTCTAAGATAAAGCCTTTCACTGCTTTGGGTACTCACTGAGATTCAAAAGAACAGATATGGCCAGTGAGGCTTTCAGCCTTTTGGCAGTGCTCTTAGTTGGCAGAGCTGCACACAAAATGGATGATGAATGGGTATGGGTCTCAAAATAGTGCTCAAACTATTTATTCAAGGTCAGCAGACATAGAAATGGATGGAAAGAAGCTTTTTCAGCAGCAGCTAGTACAGAGACACCTGGGAAATTCCAACATAATAATGTAGAGGTATTCTTCTTAATGATTTACACACATCACATACATCACACTCAAGAATAACTGATCAGCACATTATTAGGGTCATAGAACACCTTTTCTAGCTATTTACTCATTCTGATTTATTTTGAAAAGATCCCTTCACATCACTGCAAAATTTTCTTTACTTGCAGGATTTACCCAGAGTAGAGTTTACTCTTTGACATCCATGAGGAAGAGATTAAATGAGAAATGGCTGTAAAAATCCTAAGGGCTGTGTTAGAATTGCCACATTCTCTCAGATAAATACAAGTTTTGAATATCAGAGGTTCATCTGAAAGTTACTCAGCAATGGTAATGAATGGACATACCCATGGACTGCACCCTTATTACACTGACTAGAGAGACTGTGCTGTGGAAATTATACAACTCTCAGTCCTGATCTCTGGGTGCAAAATTCCACGTGGCAAAAAGCCAGAGTAAATGTTACAGTAGGATACAGAGATATAGGGACCATAAAGGCTGGGAGACATGTTCGGTACAGCGTGAACTGTAATAAATCACTAGCACTTGTCCCTGGATCATATAACCCAAGCTTTTGGGGCTTTTCATGAGCACCGACCAAAACAAGACTGAGTTTCATCCACTACCTTTAGCTATGTTGCCAGCTATCATGAGTACCACAAACACCAGATCTGAAATTTGCAGATTCAGATTAATATACAGAAAAATGGCAGTCAAGCAAAAAATGTATGTTTTTTTCATTTAAATATAAGTTTTGACAAATACTGCATAAAGCCAGTGGAAAACAGGATGAAATACTGCACTGAGTTGCCCAGGTAGCTTCCACCAGATGAATGGTGACAGCTTTCTGTAGCTGGAGGAAGTGGAGGAAGGGATGGCAAAAATATGGATCTTTTTTGGATGTAGGAATTGCAGTGTAGCTGTAAATATAAATATCACCTGGGAAAATAATTTATTATGATGAAGAAAATTCAAAATTACAAAATGTCTGCAAGGCTGACAAAGAAACAGCTGATTTTTTTTTATCAGTGATTGATGTTATTTGAGGGGCATTATAGTTAGATAAAGTTGACTAAACTTACTTCAAGACAAAACTATCATGATATAAACAAGGCTTTTGGAAGAAAATTGGCAAACAAGCTGTTCAGTGTCACATTCAAATCCAAGCACTGAACATATATTTTGAATGTGTCTCAAGGAGATCACATGAGAGACAACAAGTAGTAAATCACCTATAAAAGACTCAAAGCTGTGACCCAGTCTGGGACACTGTTGTTGTCACTGGTTGATGGCATTTGGCATTCAGGAAGGAGAACAGGAACACTGCAGCAGCACTCCCAGAGCTCCACTACAGTAGACTCCATAGTTCCTACATTGGTGGATACTCTTGTTAACCTGCATCATCACAGGAGAAGACTCATATTCCTTGCAGAATGCATAAATTATCACTATAGCAACAAAAAGGGTTCTAGCAACACAGAACACTGATTTGAAATTTGCTAAGTTTCCACTTGAGGAGGCAAAAGTTGGACGAGACATTTATTTCCTGTATGTAGTAAGATAAGAAGTATGGCTCGACAGAACAGCCTGTTTTTATTACTGCATTTGGCAGATTTAATTTTAACAGCTTTTATAGTCTTTGTTCTTTTATCTCAAGTCAGTGTTAGATATCTACCACAGTACTCATGGGAAATGTCTTAATAGGGAGAAAAAGAGGTTATTTTCAGACTAAGTCAGTTTTAGTTAGGCCTGTTTCTTATGACTTTAACAAAATAAGTTAGAAAATTAAAAAATAAAAATTCCTCTTCTTCGCATGGAACCAGTTTCCAGGGGCAGGGGCAGGAGTTGCAATCTTTCTTTAGTATGAGTTTCTTAGGGACAGACTTGCATGTGATACACAGCACTGAGTGGTGCCACCTCTGGTGAATCCTTCTGGGTTTTTTTTGTATGAAGCAAAAAAAGGAATGCAAACTGGGCACCTGTTTTTCAAGCTTGCACTTGGAGGGTCCATTATGAGCAAGCATCAGAGCTCTGTAGGAAGTCTTTGGAAGCCAGAGGCCTTTGTATAATTACAGCTATGGAACTTCAGGAAAGCCAAGAAGAAAATTCTCCCGGAGAAATTACTTGACTGTGAGTGTCAATGCCTACTAGCCAGCTAAGGAAAGAGAGCTATTACTTGAATAAGAGCAGAGGTACCACATTCACTGTGGGCAGAGGGAAGGAACAGAGAAAGGAGGAGCAGCTCTGCTTTGCTCTGCCATGACTTTTGCTAAAAGTATGAGAATGCCAGCACAAGTGTGTGTGTGATGTACACACCCTGCTCACAGGTAGGGACTGGCAGTGGGAGCCAAGGTCGTCTCCTCTGAGGAGCCCTGAGCATGGCACAGGTAATGCTCAGGCTGTTGTGACTGATTCTATTGATGGTGCGTCTCAAAAGTGACAAAGGCAGGTCTTTGAACTGCAGGCACACATGGTCTCCCTGTGCTGTTATCAACTGCTGACATGTTTGTGTTACATTCTTATGGAGCAACAAGCACTGACATGCTCCTGCATATCCTGATGGAAACTACTCAGCAGTGGTGCTCTGCACACAGGGAGGGGATTTCAGTGGGTCACAGGAAATGCCTCGCAGAGCCTGCGTGTCACAGGGAGCTGCGAGCTGAAACACGCTCAGAAAGCACACCAGCACAGGGTCTTGCTATGTTATCAGACAAATGCCATGTTTAATGCTCCTGACATTAAGATGTACTGAACACTGCTACTTCTGGGGTCACTCCCAGTGACAGAAACATCTGGGACCCTCTGAAATAGGGAATTAATGATCTGAGTTGCATGATGTGCTAGTGACAAGGACCAAATATAGATGAGAAGATGAAATCATCACCTGGCCTCATTTTACTTGCAGCTCAGAAGTTGATTTCAAGGACCTGAGAGTGAGAAATTAGCATGCTAATGATTCGAACTACTGAAAAGTTTGTTTACCTGAATTTCACTTCATCTGAATTCTGTCCACAGACTAAAAACTAATTTTTTATCACATCATCTACTTTACACACAAACCACTCCATAAGCTTGTTGTTTGGTAGCTTCAGGTGTGTTTTTACCTGGAGATTTTTGTAGTGAACAGTACTCCTGCAGTGACTTGTCTTTGCTGTCTCTTCATTTGTATAGAAGAGTCCACAGAGCTTGCAGTAAAACCCAGTTCTAGGCACCACAAATTCCACACCTATTGAGAAATTCTGAATTACATTAAAGTGCCAGTATAAATCCTATCCCTCCCATAATAAACTTGTTTTCAAAGAAAAAACATGCTATTTAGTTAAATATTAGGAATAGGAAACTGAATCCTGGATTCACTTCTTTATTTCCCTAATTTTGCAATATTGAGCTGCAGTTTAAAATTTTGTGCATTGAAAACACACCTTTTCTCTTTTCTCTTACATATACAGGCTTTAAAATCTATCTTGTCATAATATTGACTGGAAACTTCACTCTGTAACGTCAAGGGCTAGAAAAGCAATAATACTTTTTAGCAGTAAATTAATGTTTAAGTTACACCAATTGCCTTTGAGGAGGTACTTCTTCCAGGTGTTTTGCTCATAATCAGTATTTACACAGTAAAGCCAATACTTTTGCTTATACTTTATGCCAAAGACTTTTAAATTACAACATATTTTTTCATATGTATTTCATATATAGTCCAAGGGAACTTATTTCATCTCATCAGCTGCCTTTTGCCATTCATTTGGAATGAATTAGCAATGATCTAGAATCAAAAGGCTGTTTCTTTCAACAGCTACCCGTCTGTCATATACTCTGTTCCTTCTCTCCCCACATCTGTTCTGGAAAACAAATATAGCAAGTAGCCTTAAAGTGACATCTTGTTGTAAGCCCTGGGTATTGCAGTGGGCGGCCCAACGTACCCAGGGGAATGCTGAGCTCGGTGAAGACGTCCTCTTGTTCCCAGCCTGCTGCAGAGGGCCTTTGTTTAGACTCTACCTCCGGGTATTCCAGAGATCTCATTTCCAAGTACCTAGAATTTGCTTAACAAATGAATAAATGTATTGAATGAAAACAGTTTATTAAAGAGATGTTTGTAAGCTTCTTGGGAACACTTTCTGGGTGGATCTATAAATGAAGTAAAATCAGGAAAAAAATGCTTTTCCATTCCAATCAGAGGCCTATTTGGTGCAACTCCAGCAGCTGTACTATGGCATGCAGTCACTCTGATTTCTCCCAGTAGACCATTTTTCTATTTCTAATATAATGCTATGTTTGGAGGGGTTTTTGTATTTTAATCTCTGTATAGAGCTGTAAGATTACACACCTCTGGCAGAAGCACGGCCTGACTGCAGCTTTGTAACCGCATATATTACTGCATGATCAGAGGTGCAGCTGGGCTGACACCGGGGCTGCTGAGATGGTCCTGGGGCAGCAGGACCTGATGAATACAATTCTCCAAACCTGCCTTTTGTAGGATCCCTGCAACATCATCGGCATCTTCTCCCTGCAACCACTCTTCTCCCATCCTCATCTCTCCAAGGGATAGTTCCTGCTTTATGGCTCCCAGACACTAAAAAAAATTTTGGTTTCTGAATCGTAGGGATGGGATGGCTGGTCCCTGCTAGCTGACATTAATTGACACAGCAGGAGATTCAAGATGTGGAAACACTGGATTCATTTGCTTAGATATAGCCAGTCAAAAGAACAGTTGATATCCCTTCCCATGATTTCTATCATATTAATTAATTTTATTTAAAAACAAGAGGAATTTGCTATCACAGAACTACAGAATTACAGATAAACTGGTCTGATTCCTCTTTTTCAGTCCTTACATCAAAGAACTACCTCACTTGCCCTGAAAAAATTTCTATTGCATTGCAAATTTCACCTAAATAAGGGATATATTTTCTTATAAAACAAACATATTTTGCCCAAATCAAACCCTTCCTGTCTTTCAAGTCTGTAGTTCAAAGATCTGCAGTTTCTGGCTATGAGAATGAACTTTTCTTCACTTTTAAATATGTTTATTGCATGATTTAAAAGAAAATAATATAAAATCCTAACTGGTTGGCTTTCAATTTAAGTTTAAACCTACCCCAGGATTCCAATACTGCAGCAGAGAACCTGGAAAACCCCCAGTAAGCTGGTAAGCTTTTCTTAAGACACGCAGGGCCTTTGCAGCAACTAAAGTCCCAGTTCAGTTGATTTCTGTGCTTCTGAGCTGGCAGCTGCATTTGTAGAGGGCCTAGAGCCTTGGACTGCAGATCCCAGATAACAAGTCCATGTCAGAAACCCGGGAAGCATGAGAGTCCCTGGAGCTTCCAGGCTCCCTGCTGACAAGCTGGAAGCTGAGATGCTGGAAACACTAGTAAATATGCTCTTGAGACACCCAACTCTTTCATCAGCTGGCTGCCCAGGAAGCCCAGGAGAGCCAGCTTTGCCCTGCCCAGTCCCATGGCAATATTATCTCCAAACATGCAAAGTCTGGCAAGGTGTCTTCAGGCCAATCAGTAAGTATTAAAAACCAATGAGTTTCAAATCTGTCCTGGAGGAAGAAGTTAGCTCAAAATCAGATGTTCACATGAATGTTTCCAGCATTGCACTCTCAAAAATCTTCCATGAGCTTCTTTTCAAAAGCCCTTGTCCATCACATGGGCTCTGACAGCAATTAAAAAAGCGCATTTCTGATCAACATACTCAATGTAGTTTTTCACTTCATCTCACTATGCACAGCCCATTTGCTCAAGCATCATGACAAGGAACTTAACTGACTTTCAGGCCTCAAAATCCCTTTTTTCTGATGGCTAAAATATAAATAGGTAGCTATGATTACATTTATTGACATTATCTCACAGAGCATCCTACCACTTATATTAAAGGCAGCATGCAGTAGATAACAGGACATGACAAGGTAAGTCCTTGCAAAAGGCATATATTTGCATGAACAGGACTGAGAAGTAACAATCTATGCATGATATCCATGTTAATAATGCTTCAGTACAGTGTGTAAGAATACCCACCTTGTCCAGGAGCCAGCCAGACATTACAGATACTTTTCTGTTGACCTTCAGAGACTGTCACTCATTTCATTGACAATTCAAAATAAATTTAGCAAGGCACTGAAAGACTTCAGCTAAACTCATGTGAACCTTGACATGACAATTATAGCAGCTTATGCCTTTCAGAAAGCTTGCAAGCTGCTTATCATATTTCCTTTACACTATTCATCTAAGAGGCTCTAATGATTTAGCTTGGCCAAAAGCACTGGGGTTCTTTTACTAAGCTGCTCCAAGGACAAGCCTTGATACTATTAACGACACTTATTCTCGTTAGCAATAAATTTCAGTCTACCCTCAGAGAAAACATGCAAGGCTCTCTGCAGGCTGAAGGGAAAAAAGCAGTAGTTACCCTTGGCCTCTGGACACTCTTGGCTTCCACGTCTTGTTTCTTCGCTAGCATTTTTAATGAGCGTTTCCATAACTTCTTTGCTCTCAGCTCCTTGTGATCCCATCTGTTTGTAATCATCTATAAATGTATCAGGGAGCTGGAGAGTCTCTTCTTTCAGATGAACAGAAGGTATATGGTGATCTTCGGGCTCTAAACGAGTGTCAGAGCTCTTATCAATTTTTCCTTCCTTCTGCTGGCAATCAGATTCCTTAGCAGATTGGTCTTTCAATTCCTCTGGCTTCTGTTCAGGGTCCAGATTTAGGCTTGATGCTTCAGTTGCAGCATCATCATTATCATCATCCTCATCATCTTCCTGACAGCCACTAGAAGCTGCATTGCCCTTTGCTGCTCTGAAGTTTGTTTCTAAAGCTTTATGGGCAAATTTGTCTTCACTTCTTGTTAAGTGGCTGTGATCATTTTTCAGTTCTAACATGGTTGACATACAGGGACACATTTCTGAGGCAGCTTTATTTTTTTGATCAACTGGGACTATTTCTTCAAGCTCAGTTATATCAGGCTCCATAATTAAATCATCTTCTCCCACTTCATCTACTGTCACTAATTCCTCCATGTTAGCAGGATACCAGGTCTCACCTTCTATTTCACTTCCACTCTCCCAGTCTCGGTCCTGTCACAGATGTAAAACATTTGAGAGATTGGTGATTATATATAATCATTGTTAAAAAGTGGTCCTTGAAACCAGGAAGAACCTCGACATGACCATGTCTAACTCCTCTTGTGTTTTAGTTTCAAAGAGTGATATGCTTTGGTGCTGTGATTTTAAACCTTATGCACAAGGACAAAAAAATCTCTATTGAATTACCACATAAACTTCTCTTTGTGAAGATTCTGTAACTGCCTTGGGGATTGCAGTCTCTCCAGTCCCCTGCTTCTTGCTTTTCTGTAAGCAGTAGAGCAAGGCACAATGTGTCATACTTTATTATGCAACTGGTGCTACTATGTGATCCCCTTCCTCTGCCTCCTTCTCAGTGCAATGCAAATACATTGAACCCCATTTGAACCACTGTGGCTTTCACTTTCCTATACCAGGTCCTGTAAATTCACATGATGACTGAGAAAACATGGCTTTCTTCTGCAGTCATTTCCTTCCACCAGCAAGGTCCCTCTGCCAGGGACTGTGCTGGGAGCCACTGGCCTAAACCTTAGGAAAAAGCAGGTTTACAGTTATACTCCAAAGCACATATTCTGAAATACATCATACATGCAGTTTCAGACTTACAGGACTTAGGCACTAATACTGGACTTGAGAACTCTTAGAATTAAAAGGTATATCTTACTTTTAAGACACACTTGCATCTTAGATTTCAACTCCCAGACTCCTTGTGTACACATAATCTATTAATAATCTGTATTCTCCTCCTGTTTGGTCATTCCCACACTTCCCCTCCTAGAATCCTAAAACAGCATGAAAACTCTGTGAGCTGGCACTGCTCTTGCCAGGAGATCAGTTTTCTGCAGCAACAGATATCAATATCTTCCATATTTGACCATCAACCCATGACCCTACAGAAATGAAGCTGGAGGAATTCCAGGGACATTGCTGTCCCCGATTGCATGCAGCAGTAGGGGCTCTGTAAAGGCATTATTTAATTAAAACCAGAAACAATCAGAAGACTGCTATCTATAGTTCATAAGGCCAATGTTCTAAAAAGTATTCATGATAGTCCCCTCTTTCCCCACTAACTGACCACATCTCCTATTTTTGGGCACGGTTTGCAGACTTACCCAGTTCACTTGGGCATACATTCCTCACAGCTGCCACTGCCAAGCGCTATGTATGTGAAGCAACGTACATGAGCAAAGAGTAACTAAAAAAAGAGTTCTGGAGACTTCAGGAAAAGCTGTCCCTTAAAGCAGAGGTCAAGATAGGGCAAGCTAATTTAGACAACCTCCTTCTCCAACCCCTTTATGTGGTTTTTCATGAGGGGTTAATATTTCATTTGGGAGAAAGTTCTACCAGACCTGAGGTTTCAATAATTTTCTCAAAGAAACTACACCAACAACGTGTCACCAACCTTTTCTTTCCTTGTGTTTTCCAGAATCTCTCCGGATTCTTTTCCTTGTTTATTATCTGAAGGTGAGCTCTTCACTGGAACTTGCTCCTCTTTTTCAAGCTAAAATAAATACATATACACGTATAGCAACACACAGTGGTGCTCTAGTATGTTTCTATTCTGGGTTTAGAGAAGCAAAGTCACTCACAAGGTCACATTCTTTATTTCTAAAGTTTATGCAAGTCAACTAGGCTGTGGGAAAGGACCCAACAATGAATTCCATTAGCAGAGCTGTACAAATAAAAATTAAGAAAAAGAATTTTAAACAAAATTAGAGGTGTAATTTATATCACGGAATTGGCTGAAAGACAGGTGGGGGAGAATGTCAATTCATTAAAATTTCCAGCCTCCACTCTTCTGTTCTCTACCCACATTCGTTATGTTGGCTCAGATGTTGTAAGGAGAGCAGCAGTGTTAAACTGCAGAAGACCTCGACTGTTTTGTTTATTGACACAGGATCAGTTGAAAATGGAATTGGTTGTACAGTTCATACTTGGGAAGAACAAAACCACAGTACTACCTCATATTTAGTAAAAGAAGGACAAAGCAAAAGTGAGTCCAAGACATACAAAACTATTTCTTTCTTTTGAAATAAATTACTAGCAATAGTCCCCAGAGAGGTATGTCTTTAGCAAAGCCACTGTAAAACAACTTGGAAAACATGCAGAGGAGTGTGATTTAGGATGCTATCTTGACATTTCTCTCTGATGTCTCCTCCCAAGGAACCACACATCATAGTAAAATACCAGCCAAAGGAGAAAGATGATAAAATGTGGTACAAACTTGCTTATCTATGGTATGAGGCAGTGCTGCTGCTGGTTACAGACTAGTGAGTTACAAATCTAGGAAATTCCACCAGCTTAGCTCCACAGGAGAAGAAGGTCAACTAGAAACAATTGACAATGGCCCTGGCAGCACAAAGGCACAAGCAAGAGATGGAGCCCTGGTCAGCCAAGGCTGACCAGCCTCTGCAGCCTCCTGTGCCAACAGACCTGGGGGTGGATGGCAGCAGCTATCCCTGGGGGACTCCAGGGGCGGCAAGGTGGCCAAGAGCCAGTAACCAGATCCCCAGGGGGTGGGGATGTGAGTATGGGCTGTCGTGAGACTGAGCAAATGAGGCATCTGGATGGGTTCCCCCTCCTACTTCTTCCCAGAAACCCACAAACATTGCCACTTTACCACTGGAAGTATTTCTCCAGAGATTGCATAATTTTATAGGTGAGCTGATTCAGTGGTTTCTGTCATGGGAAGAGATTTCTGCCAGAACATTGAAGGGAGTGGTGTGAATTATCCCTGCCACAGTTGAGGGTAGGGACACATGATTAATAGAAACAATTGCTCTGTTGAGTTATCCAGAAAGAAATGTTTCTCATTAAAAGTTCATTCCCCATTTTAATAGTATAGCAACCACTTCCCTGTATAAATACTGTGCACCTCTGTAAAGTATCACTTAATTTCCAGATAACTCAATCCTCCACACTGGCAGCGGAAGCAGGTGATGGATGCAGAAAGAGCAGCTATGGGGCATTCTGCACAGAGTTAGCAGGAGGACAATTGCCTCTTCACACACAACCTGCATGCAAATAGCAGACTGTCACTTGGTTTCATTTTCAGCTGTCTGACCCCATCCCCTCATTTGTTACCCAAAGGTTCTATAGACACAAAATGATAATGTCCATATACCCAACACCACAAGAGTGTAATAGATCTGTATGGTCTGGGCAAAAACATGGACAAGATGGCTTCCCAAGACGACTTCTATTCCCTAATTTTATCATGGAAAAACATTTCATATTGCTGGCACCACACCTACAACAAATTCTCTAAGATATTTCAGAAAATGTATTACTTCATCACTTACACTTCTTCTTATGTATACTTTTAGATCTCTATTTACCTCATTTTCAGGAGATTTGGTTTCCTTTACATCACTGCCTTCAGCAGTAGCATCTTCTTGGTCTTTTTCAGTTTTCTTCACTTTATTCTTATCACTTTGTTTTTGCCTGGAGCCCTCAGATGCTTTGCTGTGCTTCTGTTCAGCTGCCTCCTCCCTGGCAGTGTCCTCGTTGTAAGAATGCCTGTGTTCCCTTAACTTTGCCTCTTCCTTTCTCTTAGATCTCCCAGGTAAATCCTGCAGCTGCCTCTGAAACTTGTCAGATTTTGACTTAGAGGACTTTCTGTAATAGTCATCTTCCCTGTTCTTGTAGCCAGATAAAGGGTGAAGGGACCCAGGGGAACCAGTCTTTAAGTATTTTTCTCGGTGTCCTCTGCCTCCTTCAAGCCGTTCATCCAAATCAAACTTGTCCAGTTGTCGGGAATAATGTTTCCTCTCATGTACCCACGTGTCAGTCCTGTCCCTCTTCTCGTCCCCATTCTCTCGCCATTCCCTGCTATCTCTTTCCTCTTCCCGTCGAGAATAGGGGGACTGATCCCATGCCTCTCTCCCATTTCCCCAGTCGGTCCTGCTGGTCCCCAGCGGGCTGTGTGGTGAGCTGCAGGAAGTGAAGCTGGGCGTGTGGGACCGAGGTGACAGCGAGCGGCTTATGGGGCTGCGGGAGCGGGGCCTCTCAGTGCCATACCTGCTGCAGGGGGAAAAGGCAGCTGTGACTGGCTGACCCACTGCTGTCTACCAATTCTTGTACACTGGAAGCTCATGGGGACTGCCCTGGGGACTGCGAACCTGAGACCCCAGGCCTTTCACAGACATGCACTGCACAGCTGCAAACAGTGAACAGGAGAAAAGGCAGTGTCATAGCCACAGAGCTTAACTAAATCCCCACAGAACTGTCAAGAATATATTCATTCATTCTTAAAAGCATCTCATAGGGGTTTAGCATTAAAAGCTTATAATATTTTAATACCTTTACAATGACCCTAATGTGTATACCCTTAATACTCACTCAGCTAGGGCATCTCTGACACAAAAGTGACAAAGGCCACCTGTTTAAAAGAGATGTTTTAGGACTGTGATTCCTCTCAAATTTTGCTGAAAGTTCCAGAAGTCAGAGAGAACAGAAATGTACCCAAATACATTTTAATCTGAACTGCCTCCTTCCCTCTTGGTCTCAAAGCACCCCCAGCCTTTATGCTTTTCAGTCAACAGGGAGGAGAGTGGAACAGTTTCATTTTTATGCTCTTCACATGCCACACATACTTTCTGAGACATAATCAGTAGGAAATAATTATTTTCATAACATGCACAGTTTCAGTTGGATCTCATTATACAGGCCCTGTACCAACTATTGAACTATATAAAAATATATACTATTTTATGAGTGAAATCCGAATTAGGAAAGCAAATTAAATATCAGAGGGAAGCACACAGATAATGCTCCTTCTACCTGTAGGTTTACAGACTTCCAGTTCCAAACTTTGGAGACACTTTACCTGTCCACTTCACGCAGCAGGTCCCTCTCCCTCTGTGAGTGGATGTCCTGGATTATAGCAGCCACATTCTTACCTGGTTTCTAATAAAAACAAAGATGCTGTTTAGCATGCTGCTCTACTCTTCAAGCTGATACAGGTGATTTGTCCTTCAAGAAACAGTATCCATGCTGCCTTCAATTATACTATAACTAGAAATACTTCGTTTCAGTGTTGTGGTTACACTTGCTTTTGTAGTTGGCTTCGCAACAGCACGATCAAAGCAGTAAAATGATACAAACGGAAAATGTGCTCCATTACGTTGTAGCACTCTCATCTCATATTTGGCTGCTCTAACAGGCTTTGAAAACTAGCTTGTTTTCAAATCTTGTTACACAATCACTACAGAGCATCTAGAAACTGGATCTAAGAGGAAACAAACCAGACAACTTTTCTGATACAGAATCAGATATGTATAGCAGCCTATCTCTGATCCTCTAGGTATGAACTGCGTTCTCTTGATCTCAGAGTTACTCATTCTGGAGTGTAGCTCTAAAGGACTAGGTTTAGGAGAGTTATGTGAAGGAGAGCTTCAGACAAGCTAAATGCAAGCTGTATACTGGGGTGTTGATTACTCCTAGGAAGGATGCCCTACACAGGCTGGAGTGCTCGCAGTTCCTCAAACACTTGGAGCACACACAGATGAGAAACATAATTGTGCAGGAACTCAGCAGTCTGTAGCAGTATATGCTAGCTCATGCATATTTCCCTCTATTTTTATTCGCTTGCTTTCTTTTGCAAGCAAAATAATTCCATGACCTGAAAAACTGTCATTGGAGAAGCAGAAAAATCTTCCTGGAATCTAGGCAAACTACCACATTCTCCTGGGTAACTCCTGCCTCTCTGTCAAGATGCACAATCTCCACTACCTAACATCTGAACCCCTCCCTGTACCACATTAGGAAAGTCTGCCCTGATTTATGAACTTTTGGCAGCTCATTTTAAGTCTCCTTAAGCTAGTATACACACACAGGAGAGAAAGAGGCTTTTCCAAAGGTCAAGCCAAACCATCCGAGTTCCTTTATTTTATTTTTTTTTCCCCCAAGGCTCATAAAGGGACTCTTAACATTAAATTGGAACATTACAGAGCTGTTCTACAAAATAACTTTGTGCTGTGTTAGGTAATACAATATGGAGCTCTTAAGCTCTGCATTGCCAGTTCTGGTCCAAGTCACCATGAAATAAAATTACTCTCTTAGCATTACATGGCAGTATATAAGCCTCTATAAATACTTTCACAAGAGCAGTGATCTCTGGACATCACTCAAGTGTCCAGAACAGAAGTGTCACACACTCTACAGAAAGTCTAAAGAATATTGCTCTGTTTTGACTCTATGTTAAAAGAAAAAAAAACCAAAAAAACAAAACCAACAAACCCAAAAAAACTTGCTTTATAACTTAGATAATTCACAAGAAATAAAAAGAAATCAGTATGCTGTTTAGTCCTGTTACCACTCCTTGGTATCAAGACTGTGCTGTCTCAAGCATGGAAGCAGTGAAAAAAGCATTGTTCTGGGCTTAATGCCTGACTAAAAGGATAGACCCATCTTATTTTTGCTGACATGTTATATCATACACATGGCTGTGTTTTAGACCTTTGTTAGACCAAGCAATGTAGGGAGCCTGCCCACAAGGAAACTCAGAAGGGATTTTTGACATAATGGTATGAAAGGACCAGAGAGAATGAGGTCTCTTCCAAGAGGTACAATTTAGAATAAGAGCAAGTGTAAAAGATTGATAATACACACTCCTTAGTTTATCTTTATTTCTTTTTCCATCATATTAAAGCACTAATTAGAAATCAGTAACCAGCAAGAATCTTTTAAAATGTATTCTCCAGATGTGTCATGGAAACTCATATAATTTGATCAAGAATGACTATCTTACCTTCAGCTGCAATTCCTTGTATCTTTTAGACATCCTAATAAGTAACTTGTCATCATTTATCATAGCAGGTTTTTCTTTGTAGTACTGTACCATGGCTTGGGCTGCTTCACTGTAAGCCATTTCCAGAAAGGCCTAGCACAAATGGAGAGAATTTTACAATCTATTACATAATTAAGAATGCAAAGTAAAAGAGAAAAGGCAGCACAATAAATTTTCCATGGATACTTCCATGCAAAATGTCTTGATAGTACAAAATTGGGCAGCTTTCTAGGCCTGAAGCTGAAATTATAATACTCAGTCCATTTCTCATTCTTTCTTTAACTGCAATAGTTGTTTCAAACCAGTTATTAAAGCTAATGAAGATGGTTCAGTTAAAAACTAAATGACTGATATCTAATCTTCCTTGACTGGCAGTGTTCAAGGCCAGGCTGGAGGGGGCTCTGAGCAATCTGTTCTAGTGGAAGGTGTCCCTGCCCATGGCAGGGGGTTAGAACTAGGTGGTCTTTAATGTCCCTTCCAACCCAAACCATTCTGAGTCTGTGATTTTTACACATTACAATCATTTTCCACTAGCATGGATTCTACATCCATCCATTTTGTCTGCTGCAGGAATGTGAGAGAAGATACTCTGTTCTTACCAGCTTACACATTGGTACACTTAAGATACTTAGGGTATACTTAAGCTACTATAAAGAACAAGAGAAGTCTGAAAGGAACCCTAACAAATGACTGAGAAGGCAGGAACAATTCACTTAAAAAAATTAGTAAGAGTACAGTTTCACAACATTTTTTCATTGAGATTGCCAGGATTTTCAAACAAGAACTTGTTTAGATGTGGTCATGTTTACATCCTCATCTAATTCAGTGACGACCAACTTTTTTTTCACTTTGAGAGCTGGCTTCATATGTTAAAGTTTCTATTACTAAATAAGAGGTTTTCCCCCTAAGACTCTGCCTTCATGTTTATGTCTTCATATCTTTATGTCTTTATGCCAACAGATGTCTGGTAACCCTACATGTACAGTACCTGATTAGTGGATTTCATGAGGATATAGTTGGTGACCTTTCCAAATGGGAGGCCCAGGTTAATGACATCATTCTCTGTGCAGCTTCCCTCGGGGAGGTTGCAAATGTGAACAACTCGACCCAGTGTAGATTTCCTCTGGGGAAACTGGGGGGAAAAAAAACCCAACTCAAACCAATGTTTTTATGTTAGATATTCTCTCCACTAGATAATATCTTACATTTCTGAAAAAAAATTAAATGCTCTTCTCACCTGCTATTAATTAAAAAAAATATTCTTTAAAGCTTGCATTTTACACTCCTGGTTTAGAAGTACAAATGGAAATGGAAATATGTAGCTGCAGTGCAGGCTGCAATGCAGTCTCCATCCCTGGACTTTGCAAAGTCCAGAGGGGATTTCTAGAAGGGAGACTGTCCTGCAAACAGGATCAATACTCCTGCAAAAACTAACTGCTCACTGCAGTCCTTGCTGAATTTATGGATATTGGAAATCAGTTTATGTGACTACATGGATGTTCAGGATAGTAGGGACTAAATTTAAATCCTTCTTCATGGAACAGACTGGGCCTGGGGTAAAAGTGATCCCACTTGATTTGTGAGAGAACACACAGCTGTACCTGGGGTTAGAAAACCTGCTTCTTTTCCCTCTCACTGCACCAACACACAGGAGAAAGGACTTCCCCCTGGGGGCACAGTGCACATTGGACATGCAGAGAGGCAGAGCTCACAAACTGGGCTGGCACAGACACAGAGCACTGGAGTGGTGATCACTTCCCAAGGGTGGAAGTCTATTTTGGAGTGCTGGGGCAGTTCCGAAAGAGGTGCCCATCTCCCTGGCATGGGAAGCAGCCTCTACGCTCCCTGTGCAAAAGGCATCAGGGTACAGCCAGAGAGAATGTTAATTTACCATAGCTAATGACAAGGAAAACGTCACTCACACAGGATTAAATCTTTCCAGACTACCTCCATGTTTATGACCTCTGCATTAGGATTTTACTGAAGAAGTAACTCTACCTTCAGTTAAAATTGTGCCATTCAAGGGAAGATGCAAATCATGTAATCTTGTGGGATCAAGTTCACCAGAGCCATCACAAATGTTTGGCTTGTCAGCAAGTTCACAAGTTACACAGCTAATGTTATCTTATTTACACCTCCATCCTGTTGCCTTCCCTTCAGGCTTCACCACTTAACCATTTGTGTATTTTTGCTGCACTAGAGCCCTGCATTACACAGTGATCAGCTACTGAGCTTGCATCTCACAGAGCCCACTCAGGTGCACAAGGTAAGTCAAAGAAGTGCAAAAGTCCAAAAGTAAGGTTTTTATTCTGGCAGAAAAAATAACAAAGACCTGATCCTGAAAAAAAGAAGAAGCAATTCAGCTCCAACTGAACAGAAAAGGTAGTGATGTCTGCACACATCTGGCAAGGCAGCATGTAGCACAGAACAGAACACTACTACAGCTAGAGGAAAAGGAAAAGGAAAAATCAAATGCAGTCCCAGTGTAAGAACAATCCAGGTCACCAGTCACCTTCTGTTTGTTTTGTTAGATCTGTTAAAAGATGGTATGTATGATTCTATTGGACTAGAAAGGCTCAGCTCTTCACTGCCTTGGCTCCAGAGCCCACGTTCCCACACACAGCCCTCAGAACATTAAATCAAACAACTGTAAGACATTGCCACTTCCCCACAATTGGCAATGGCTTAAATTAAAATGCTATGCCATAAACCTGCTGTAGTTCTTGATTAAGAAGTGGTCACATACTCATGCCAGAAGTCAACAGGCTGTACCAAGCAATAATCTTGTCAGCTGATTGCAGTTAAACTGGATCCATTCATTAAACAGAGCTGTAAATCATGGCCAGAAAAGGAATATACACCTTCCATATCTACAATCAGGAAGTTACAGGAGCTGTTGCATGCCAGGTGTTGAATATAATTTTCAGTAAGACTCAAAGTTAACTTTCTTGGCAACCAAAGTCTACTAAGGGTTATCAATGTAGCTGCACGGCTATTAAAAAAAAAAAAAAGTCTAAAAAATTTATGTACAACTGCAAAATGCACTTCATATTATTTACAATATTATTTCACCCAATTTGGTAATTTTTTATTACAGCTGCTTTCTTACATTTGTTGTTGTTGCTTCTTGCTTTTCAAATTCTTTATCCCTTTCCTAAGGCTCACATGAAATTTTTTCTAAAGATAGTAAAAAACTGCCAATCTCATCCCTCCAGTGCTAATGGCTCACCACGCCCAAGTGAAGACTGGTAGCACTTGCCTTTTACAGAAGGATAGAGTTATTTGCAGATGGACAGCACAGAGCAAGCTCTTCCAGAAATCTGAACACTTTGTTTATGATTACATGCAGGGTCAAGTGTAATCTCCTACTGCTCAGTTAAATGGCAGCAGCTTAGCTGAAAGTGAATACTACCATGCAAAGGTGTAATAAATTATAAGCCACCTGGGTTGCAGAGTGAATGACAGCTAGCAATCTCAGTCTTAACACCTCTAATATAGCTCCCTGTTCATCCAATACGCTTCTGAAGAAAAAAGGGATTTACAGCATCCAGGAAAATCAAAGTTATTGTTTCTTTTATGTCTCAAAATACTGCAGGTCATTCAGAAGAGGACTTCTTCAGGCAGCTTAAATGATAAATAGTGACAGATTCTAAAGAGAAATGACACTGGTATTAGCAGTGATTTCATTTGTTGTGAAGTTGACAGACATGATGAAAAGGAACATTCCTCTGCACCCACTACTAGTCCACCTCTGACCTTGGAGGCAGCTGTCATGAGCAGCTCTGCTCTTTGCTGGCCTGCACTCACAGTGTCTGTGACAGGCAGAAGCTGAAACCCCTTCAAATAACCTCTTGCACAGTAAAACAGCACTGTAGAAAATCGGTTGGATCAAGGAAACCTGGTGAACTTTCTGCAAGCAGTGCCTGATGTGAACTGGAGTGCCACAGGGACACAACTCAGCCTGGCTTTTCAGAGTGTCTGAGACCACTTCAGGAGAGATATATACATAAAAGTTAACAAGGTGAAAAGTTGAACCCCTGGATTACTGCTGCTATTCCATGAACGCCCTAACATAAGTCTTTGGTGTGTCCAGCTCTAGTTGTAGCTTTCTGATATGTGATGAGTTTCATTTTAACCCTAACAAATTTGTATTTTCATTACAAACATAGTTTGCTTTTATTTCCCTTATTTCCCCCTTTTAAAATGTTCCTGCTTTGTCAGTGTAAAAACTCCTTTTAATGTTGGTTCTTTTTTCTGGCATTTTTTGATTATAGAGCTAGGAATTCAAGTGTGCATTAGAGCAATATAACTAGGTACCTGTGTTGAATGCAGGGCAGGGACTAATAAACCTAAACCATGGAAGGCTCCACATCAAAACAAACGTGCTGAAAGGCTACCAGTGACATCAGAGGATATAAATACTACACTAAAATAAACTAAGGAAAAGTTAATCCGGTATAATGAACTGATCTGGGACCTCCAGGAGAACAACAGTGAAGCTGCACTGCAGCCACTGTCTTTGCCACTGTTGCTACCTGGGAGAAGGACCTCAGTGTGAGAGAGGCAGAGAGCAATTCTACAAATAACCAGAGAGATAGAATGTTGCTTGATGGGCTCAATATTGAAGGTAACTCAAAATTAATCCAAATCTTCATTCCAAGCTGGAGCTGACCTTCCTGGGTCAAAAAGACTCAGACAATGGGGGGGAAAAGTCAATGGAAAACACACACAAACCTATTTATTTACCCACCTCCCCAACTAACTCTGACAAGCAAACAAATGTTAGCACTGGGAAAAAAAAAAAAAAAAAAAAAAAAAAAAAAAAAAAAAAAAAAAAAGCAAAACAAAAACTACTACCAAGTTCATATTCAGTCAAAATCAAAAGCATAAAAGAACTGCAGGGAAGCTGAAATAACAGAGTGAATATTCAGACTACTGTCTAAAAGAAAGCCTTCAGGGTTTTAATTCCAGTAAGCAGAAGTGGCTTCTAAAAGAATCTCAACACAGACACTTAAGTACTTTTGCTTAGGTACTCACTCTTACCCCTGATGGAGAAGAAAATGTAGGACCTGGCTGGCCAAAGGATCTTGCTGGTGTAGCAATAAAAGATGCGCCAACATTTGGTGGATAATCTAAATAATGGATTACACACATTTCATTAAAATCTTGGCTCATATTAATTGCATTAATGTGCTCAGTAAGCAATGCCCCATTTACATAGTAAATAATTTCATAGTCTCTACACCAAATTATACACTGTTTTGTTGTATTATGAAAACAAGTTATTGTTTGAAAGAAAAAAAAATCATATTTCAAAGGGCACAGTATTTGCTTTCTTTTTTTTTTTTCTTTTGGGCACCACTTCTCAAAATTTTTCCTTGGAAACTTTTATCACATTTCATTTTAAAAACACAGTTCTCCTCAGAGACTGATTTCCCTTTCAACTAAAAAAAGTGTTTTTAACTACTGCACATACAACCATTCACCTTCGATACCAGATGGATTGAAAACTGCTGCATTATTTGGCGATAAATGCAAGGTTCCATCTGCTGAGCTTAACATACACCGGATACCAGTGCTGGAAAAGAAAGAAAAGAACTTTAGGGACATGCATGACGTACCAAAAATATTGAAGCTTCATTGTTAGGCAGTAAATTCCCAGTGGAAAACAACTGAAGTAAGAGATACTCTGTTAGCAATTCAGTTTGAAGAATTCACTTTAAAATAATACTTACTTATCTGAAAAAGCCATACATTTTTGAATGTGAAGACTTCCCTTAATGTGCTGATCCCAGTCCTATGTTGAAACAAAGAGACAATGAACACAGGAAAAATCGTGAGACAAATTTACTAAAGATTATTCTTCCATTCAGTTTACCTTATTTAAAAAAAAATACTGAGATGCTGAAGATCAAACCATGTGATGTCAGAGCCAAGCACACCTTCAACCAATGCATTTACTGATTCATTATTTGAATGTTAAATTATCAATTATTTTACAAAAGGAAACCTTCTCAGTATTAGCTTTTGAATTCAGTGTATTTCTAGTAAGGGAGTTATTTCACTCTTGCCAAAGACCTCATCCTGCAAGGTGCTAAGCACCCTCAATTCCTGCAATGTCCATAAAGAATGTGTTCAGTATTCAAGGCAGCCAGGACAGTGCTTATTATTTCACTAGATCAGCAACATTTATCGAAGTACATTTAGCTGTTTACATTTCTGGGCTCCAATTGAGGCAGCGCATTAACCACCAACTAACAGATCTCCTGAAACTCACTGCAGTGGCATTCCCCCTGCACTTTTTAAGTGTTAAATAAAAAAGAGAAATGCCCAGCATGCCCTTGACAGCCCAGCCCCACAAGCAGCAGTAACCAAAGCAAAACCTTTTGCAAGCAGTTGCTAAAAGAGTAAAAGGTAAACATGAAAGTAAATATATTCAAATATCCCAAATCCCAAGGGTGTGTAGGGATCAGGTACTATTTAACCTGCTGGACATTTTCCTTCTTACATACATGCTGTTATAATTTTATTGTCAGGCCACCATCAGCATGAGAACACATGCCTTTGTGGTTAGGTGCAGGTCGTGTGATGTGACAGAAAAGGTCATAAGGACTTGTTGAGCAGGGCTCACCAGGAGGCCAGAACAACCATGGATGGCTGTAGGGCTCAGAGGGCCACTTAAGTGGCATTCTCCAGACCTGACCTAAATAACGTGACCTACAACACACTGCCTAGGAAACTGGGAAGCTGTTTCTTGAGGGTGAGGTTGAATTTGGAGCTCCCTTGGCAGTATGAACAGAGAAGTGAGAGAGAGCACAGTCTGTACCACATGTGCTGAGCAGCTTCGTGCTTTCAGGTCAAAGTCCCTGGAGACCTTGAGCCCTAAATTATCTTGTGAGACACAAGGAAGAAAAAATTCCTACAGAGGAATAGTTAAAATAAGTTTATCAAAAAATGCACTGGTTTGTTTAAGCAAGATGCTTCCATGAGGCTGTGTTAGGGGGAAGCCTTTGAGATCAGAAAAACCAGATGAAACTACAGACTTGGGGCTGCAACCCTGGCTTGAGTATCGGGGGATCAGCTTCAAGCTCCTCCCCACCTCGCTCTGGGCCCATGAGGTGAGCAAGGACCTCGGCTCAGACCTCACGTTTCTCACATCAGTGCTGTAATCTCACCATCTTTCACGGCAGCATGTGGAACAAAACCGATCTCGAAGCCCCGGTAACTGCCATGAAACAGATGTTGTACCATGGCCTCAGCAAAACTATGGCCCTTTGTTTCTGCGTCTCTCAGGGCAGCTCTGTGGTGATGGACACTCGCAGCGAGGGGTGGCAGGAGCTGGTGGACAGATCAGTCACCGGACAGCCTGTTCAAGGGTCTGAACCGTGCCCAGGGACGCCCTCAAACCACTCACCTTCAGATCGAAGATCTTCTTGTCGCACAGGGCGCAGATGTGGGGGAAGTGGAGAGGGGCCACGCCGCGGAGGTCACCAAGCTGGTGCGGCGGCAGGGAGCGGGTGGGCAGTTCGGGCGTGCCGCCACTGCGCTCCTCCTTCTGCCTCATGCGAGGGCTGCCGAAGCTCTGCGCGCTGTGGTTGAGGCGGCCGAAGGCGGGGGGGCCGGCCGTGCTGAACTTTGTGTCAGGTGTCGGCTCTTCGGGGTTGTACAGCTCGTTTCTTATTTCATACTGCTGCTGACTCGCTGACGGCCACAGGCTGTCGCCGGGCATGAGGTCAGGCTTGTTTTGGCTGGGGAAATTAGGGATATTTTCCCACTGGTTGCTTGTACTGCTGCCATGCAAGACAGGGCCAGGATCTCCTTTCGCATGGGAGCCTGTGTGTGGGTCGCTGGGGAAGGCCCGTGCTGCACCATGCTGTGCTGCTGCCCCGTAGGACTCCTTGGGAAATGTCGCTGCCGCCTCGTGCTGCAGCTGGCCGGGAGCCCCAAAGTGACTCTCGTAGCGTGGCCCTGCTGCTGGGCTGGCAGTGTGGGTGCCACCAGCAAGGAAGCCGTGCTGGCTGGACTGTTCCCCCTCCGAGGCGAACGCCTGAGAGGCGCCAGTGACGGCGTTTTGCTTGTTGTACTCATAAAAGCCTCCTGCAGCAGTAGATGTGGAAGCACCTGCCTTGTTGAGACCCACCACCACGGGTTGCTGGCCAGAGGTCGGAGCCATGACACTTCCAAAGGGACTCATGACAATTGCGTTGGGCGCCTGGGCCTGGACGGCTCCCAGACCTCCCCCTGGGGCAGCTAAGGCCGGGCTCTGGGCAGGAAAGGCAATGCCACCAGAGGGGAACCTCGTGCCGGCGATGCCGGGCCCCTGGGGCGGGCCTGCAGAGTGGCCTTGCGGGGCGCTCATCACCGTGGGGTGCCTCAGCTGGTTGAAGAGGGGCTGCGACATGGCCACTTTGGAGAGCACCTGGTTGAGGACAGTGGCAGCGGCTGGGTTGTTGGTGACGGCGGTCTGAGCCAACTTCAGCCTGTGGAGCGTGAGCTGTGCCTGGAGCTGCGCCAGCTGCAGGCTCGCCGGCGAGGGGAGCAGGGGGCTCGGGGCGCCAACAGAGAACGGACTCTTCTCCAGGAGCTTGGCAGCACTGCAAAGGATCAGCATCTGGGTTAGACAAATTCACCCCACCCCTACCTACGCTCACCTCCTGTTAAAGCCCAGCATGGGATGCACAGCCGCTGCCAGAGGTTTAGTGTGTCCAAACTCAGGGAAAGCAAAGGCCATACAGGCCCTCCCACACCATCCCCGAATCAGCAATTTCCCCCCTTTTCTGCACTTCATGCAACCTCCAGCCTCCCTGCTGATACATCTCTGATCCTAACTGATTTTTTGATATCATCATGATTCCCTTTTCCTACAAAGCAGGCAGATGTGAAGAAGAGGACATCAAATAGGATTTTAAAGTCAGCCCCACAGGTATTTCCCACCTAGCACATCTGGCTGCATAAAACAAGAGAAAATACTCCACATTGTTTACAGTCCTTGTGCTATTAATCTGCACAGCAGCTTGTTCCGTAACAAAGCCTATAGTTTTGCAAATGCAAATATAGAGGAGAAAAAAAAAACTGAATGAAGCAACTACAAAACTACAAACAAGCTGTCCTCAAGAGTTTTCCCTGTTCAGCTGGAATATAAGACAAAATTTCCGCAGTGCCAGCTGGTGAAAATCAAGGTCTTTATACTTCCTAGAAATAAGAGGTGCACTGAGTGTTGTCCTTCAAGTCTCATATATGGGATGAATAAATGACTGAATTATCTGCTTGAATTCCAGAGCTGGGAAAATAGATGATTTTTTCAGGCATATGGTGGTTCCTTTCTTTGGGAAACACCTTTGAGACATCTCATCAGTTCACAGCACCACCACCAAACTATCATTTTCATGCTCCTACTGAAAAAATGTTATCCTTCACTTTCCTCCACCTCTGCTCACAGACAGCACAGCTACTCACTGCATTACAAATGGCTGTTCATTCTGACAGTGAGAGTAGAGAACACTCACACAACAGGGATGTGGTCCAAAGCTCAATTAATTTATATTGTAAAAATGTATTGAGTTTCAATTGAGGCCTTTCAAAGTAGCAGGAACTATGCATCAACCACCACGCAACCCTCACTGTTAATAATTGGCCAATTTGCTAAACTGCATGGATGAAGCTGTAGTTAATGATAAATGTCTTGTCAGCATGCTACATTTGAAAACCACAAATTAGGAAAACATCTGCTTAAATCCAAAGTATGACTAAGAGAAAATGAATGGGTTTCATATTTAACATTTAACTTCCACTAGCAACTGCAAGGCACATCTGTCTCCCAAAACACAAAACACCGTTTGGATAAATGCATCATTATGTAATGACACGACTCCCTGCCAGCACAGGCTGACACCAGTGCTCAGTTTCAGAGCTGAGGTGCCTTTTGTTTCCCCATGTGGTTTCCATCACTTACTCTCTGACTTGCACTTACAACCCAGTTTGCTGTAAATTTGATTATGGATGAGAGTCAGGGCACAAGTAGAGTCAAAACAACAAGGAGGCCTCACAAACCCCAGCCCAGGAGTTCCTGAGGACCCACAAACACTGCTGAGGAGTGCATGTGGTGAGAGGGGTTAAACAAGCAGGGGATGCCACAATGGCACAGCACTGTCATTGCCACCGGGGGACATGGCATGGCCCTGTGCCTAGGCTGTATGTGCCACCAGCATCTGGAGTGTCCTGACTCATGGCGCATTTTCTGGCATTTACCACAGTCCTGACAACTGTTTCATTTTATAGCTAGTTATACCCCTTGTTCCTTAAGTAGCTGCAAAACTCTTTTAAAAGCTTTTACAAAGCATGCAAATAGATCTGCCCAGTGGTCTCAGAAAGAAAAGCCAGCAGCATATAAGGTTTTCAGCTCAGGAGCCACAGATGACTCCTGTTCCCAGCAATCTAATTCCACTGCGCTGCAAGCCTACACAGCAGCGTGCTTATCCCAACAGCTGCAGCCACTTCCCAGTTCTGGTGGCTACCTGCTGGACACGGGCACAGGATCCCTCTCCAGAGAAACCATCTCACTTGACACTGCTACAAGCCCTGAAGCGGCCTCAGCCTCCTCATGTCTCGACCAAGTTTGGAACACTGTTTCCAAGAACCTGCATCCCTGGCTGGGCAATGCTGTGGGTGCTGGCTCTCCCCAGATCTGTGCTTGCTCCTTGGATCTGCTGCTGGGTATGGGGAAGGCAAGGCCAGGAGTGCCCTGCACAGCTGCACTGGAAATGCTCTGGCCATTACAGACCAACAGCCTTTGGACCCTGCTGTGGAGCAGGGCAGCACCAGCTCCCTGTGCCTGCTGGCTTTGTCCCTGGATTGCAAGCCAGCAGTCCAAACCAAGGAAAGACTGGGGCTGCGGGAAACCTTACCGAAAATGAACATTGTATGAAGAAGCCACAGCCTCCAATCCACTTAGAGAGGAACAGAATAAGAGGGTTCCCATGTACAAATAGTTTTGGGAATAACCAAAGCTTCAAAATCCATGTCTATTATGAATTTCCGGATTTCAGGGTGTTTCAGGTTGCAAAGTTTATCCTCCCACAGCAGAAACAGAATATTTTATTATCTAACCAAGGCAAAGAAGGAAGTGCTTGTTCTTGGGTCAGTGGGAAAGCAGATATGCAGATACAAGGCTGGAGAAGAGCTGTACATAAAGCATCTTTTAGAGAGATACTCAGATTTGAGGATTGCTGTTCTGCTGTGAAATACATGGCATGAGAGATACACTGGGTCAGCGTGCACAGCTTTGAATAAACTTGCTACAGACTTACTAACCTATTGGAAAGTGCAAACACAAGGTGAGGATAGCACTCAGCTAAGGTATTTTGTGGGTGCCATTCCTCATTTGGACACACCTCCCATCCCCAGCTCATCCTCAGGTTACCAAAAGGCAGCCCCCACCTGCTCGTGGGGGGTCTCTGCCACAAGATGATTGAAAGCAGCTGAATGAAGCTCTCATTCTCCATCAAGCGCTCAGGGAATTGGCCTGCGTCAGACAGAGTTAGCTCTATCCCGTGCAAAACATTCCCGATTATAAGGTCAGCAATGTAAAAAGTAAACAGAAGTTGTCCTCTGCAATTATTTATTTAACACCCGCTGTACAGCTGGCCTACACCAGCTCCACTAGGAAGGCCAGAAATGGTCTTTCTTTGCTGAAATAATGACAGGCAGGAGTGCTGCCACACAGTTTTGACAAAGAAATCCATAGCCTGGACAAGTTTTCACACAGCTCTGAGAGACAGGAGTTGAAATTGTACATTGATATCGCAGCACTCACAATGGGATTGCGAACGCTGGCAAGGTCATATCACCATAAATCAATTCAGCCCACCTGCTATCCCTGTAATCTTTATTATGCTTTTAGTATCCAGGAACAGTGTCAGAGGTAAGGTATCTAGATGGCTGGATTATTTGAGCAATCCTGTCTACAAGAGTGATGAAAAGGTTGACCACAAAACATGTCTATTAGAACAGACCAACAACCTGGAGCTTAATTTTCAACTGACAAAATGAAGGGTTTCAAAATGCTGTCCAGCACCTTTCAAAACTAGGAAAGAAATAAAAAAATCTGGACTAATAAATTAATGATCCGAGTTGCAACTATTTATATATTCACAAATATTTGAAATGCTGCATAAGGTGTGAATTTGAATACTTTTTAAAAAAAACCCTAATTCATAGCAGTGCAGAATTTTTCTTTTATCTTCCATGAATATTGCATATATTCTAAGATTTTTGCACTCCCTCCCCAAGACATGTCTTTACATATAATTACACCTAACTGTCAAAATATTAGCATGAGAAATTTTTAATACTTTTTGTTCCAGAGTGTGCCTTTTTTTTTCCCCAAGCAGCCTGTATTACTATGTTAAAATTTCAGAATTAAAATGACAAGGACTTTAACATGCCCAAGTACCCTAAACATATCATCACTCTGCACTAGTACAGTATTAGATTTAAATGAGTGTAGTAGCATGCTGGATTTCCTAAAGCTGTTTCTGATTCAGTTAGCAAACTTTAAATTAATGATCCAGGACTCCTGAATACATCACACAGAACCATTTCCTAATTATGCAAGCACAAAATAATTCTGTTATGCAGAAAGGTGAACATATCCCTTCCCTATAATGTATCGCTTATGCGAAATATATTGGTCTCCTTCTCTAAACCCATCCAAAACAATTGCCACTGTACTAACAAAGCAAATAAAGGTGCCTTAAAAATACACAAATCAACTGTTTGATGATGAAGTTGGCAATATATTAGGGGTAGACATAGTTTTCAAATTAAAATGCATAATTTGACAGTACTTCATTAAAATTGCATGTTTGCATGTGAGGACAGAATCCAGCCTCTTGAACACAAGGGAACTACAAAGTCATATTTCAAACACTGTTAGAAGTAAAGACAAAGTTCAGCAAACTCCACAACATATATTAAATATAATAAAAATTAATTAGTATAATTACATTTAATACACTGCTGTTTTGCTGATCTTATTAATAATACAGGGTCTATATTCACTTTTGCTTGTTGAATAAATCCAGCACTTATACCAACAAAGACTGGAGCATTGGTTAAAAAATGAACTCTGGAACTTTCTCCTATACCCTTAGATTGTTTCTGGCTGATACTAAATAACTGTTCATTTTCCTTTCAGCTCCACAAAAAGTTGTGTTTTTTTGGTTTTTTTTTGTTTAAGTAAAATTAATTTCTCAGCCATAAAAGCTTGGAAAGACTGCTGAAAGGAGAAAACCCTTCACATTCATAATTTAAGCTCTGAAATCATCTACCACCAAACTTTTTTTTCCTGACTTCTGGTTAGAAATGATAAAAAAAAAGAGATCATGTTTCCCAGTAAGTTCAGCTAATGATGGGGAGCACTAAAAACCTTAAGCTACTTTAATACATGTATAAGCTGCAAGTAAAATCTTTCTTATCCTAAATAATGATTTCTAAAGCCTTCCATTACACTACTGAGAGAGGAAAATAAAACATCAGCCAATCTATACAAGTGCTTTGCATGTTTGGTAATGCTAAACTCTACTAACTGGACAAT